CAAGCAAGGTTGTATCATCTGCATATCGCAGGTTGTTAATGAGTCTTCTTCCAATCCTGATGCCACGTTTTTCTTCATAGAACCAAATTTAAAGTGACAGTATCAACATAAAACCAAACGGCCACCACTCATCTGTCTATCGTGCTGTGGTGGCTTGAGTTACTGTGATTCTGAGGGCTATGCCACCGGTATTTTAAATAACCGGCTGGATCACCCATGGTGGACAGGTTTCAGATGAGCTTCCAGACAAAGACAGATAAGGAAGAAAGTGACAAACTACTTCCGAATCGCTAGTCACTGAAAACTCTATGACTTTCATTATTGAAAGATTCTCTGGGAGGGTTCAGTAGTATCTCCAAAAATTGCTACATAAAGACAGTATGACTCTTTTACAATTTGCAGCATTTTAAGATAGTTATACTAGTTGGTGGTCCAATCCCTGCAACAGTCCTGAAAGGCATTTCTTTCATCTTTTAACTGACTACCATGGTGGTAACAGATGACTGACTTTTAAACAGCTGTCACAAGCTGAAAACAAAATGAAACAAAAAAAAACCTACCCTCCCATATTATGTACAGACAGCTTGCCAATAGCTTAAACAAATCCTTTCTTGGAGCATTATTTTAACAAACAAATCTTTTTTTTTTTTTTTCCGCATTGTCCGTATATTTAAACAAAAACTCATAAAACTCAGACAAGCTGGCTTCATATTTTCCACAGAACTGCACTGCCTGCCTCAACTTTCTAATGGGATCACAACAATTATTGGTTTCCAGATGCATTTAAAATGCGTTAAGTGCCTGCAGGAATTGGTTTTTAAATCTTACAAAACCCTTCAAATGTTTCAATTTCAAGATTTTACTTTAAGCCTGGATGTGATAGTATGATGCTTGTGTGTTATTTGACCACAGTGTCATACTTAATTTGCAATTAATATTACATAGAAAAAAATTGAGAAATGAAAAAAAAAAAATTGATGTCTTAAGCAATTCTTTTTAATATTTCCTCCATTTTTCTCATATTATCTGTTTCCTTGTTATCCTGAAAATTTTAGAAATAATCACTAGCTACTATTGGAGAGGAGTCCTGGTATGGCACTGTAGGATAGGCACTGATTTGCTAACCACATGGTCAAGGGTTTAAACCCACCAGTTGCACCTCAGAAACCTTACACAGGTTGCTATGAGTCAAAACTGACTCAATAGCACTTAACAACAATACCACTACTATTGGAGAAACACCTGCAATGCATGGTGTTCTGACAAGAAATCTCTCGGTATCATCAAGCACTTTGCTTTGAGAACTCATTTCTAGACTATGGATAATTGAACTACAAATATGTCAGTCAGACAACATTAGCAGTTTTGTATCTTGTATGGTAGAATTTCAAGCTTTCCTGTATTTGCTCCTGGACAATTTCTCTCTGTCATGATGCTCTTCCTCAAGTGAAAGATTGAGTCTGTGTTTATTCCCAGTGTTTCACTGTTGATTGAAACTAGGCAGAAGGCAAAATTGTGATGTGTCTTCTCATAAGTGTCTGGATTGAAAACAAGACGTGAATAAAAACAGGGCTTTTAATGAAAAATGCATTTAACAGGTGGTTTCTCCACTAGTGACTGGCATAGTTATCATCCCTAGAGACACATATGAGCCTCATGTCTTATTTATTTATTTATTTTATTTATTTATCTTTTAGATTCCATGTGGACAGCTCACAAGCAAAACCGAAAAATATGACAAGCAACTGGTAATGCTCACCCAACAGTCTGAAGATTCAGAAAGGTAATAATATACTTCCAAATGTAGTATTCTAAATAGAGTAGTTCTGTGCTAAAGATGATGTGGCCGTAAAGAATAGAAGATAACATATTTGGTTGCAATGATATGGAGCCCTGATATGGTGCTGTAGAATAAGCACTGGGATGCTAACTGTAGAGTTGGCGGTTCTAATCCACCAGCTGCTTCTCAGGAACCTACGCAGAGTTGCTAAGAGTTGGAACCAGCTTGACAGCACACAACAAGAACAAAAACAGTATAGAATAGATAAGTAAATGGCATTCTATAATGAAAGACATTTTTTTTCATTATGATCCCAAGGAACAAGATCATGGGTAAGTTATTGAAGTTATTTGATATTTTTTAAGTATTTGATATATTTCCCTTGACAATTTTGGTACTTGGGATAATTTCTCTATAAGTTATGCAAATATTTTCCTAGGAAACAACTCTTTTTCATAATAAAATGATGCACTAGCTTTATCTTCTTTTGTATTTGTTTAATCTTTAGTTTGGGAATTAGGTAAGGAGTTTAATAAGTTACTATTCCACCACTACCACCACCCGCACCCCCCAAAAAAAATCCTTTCTCAGCTCCTGTCCAAGTTCCATCTATCTTTTAAGGCTTTTCTCAATCCTCACTGTATTCACTGCCATATAGAGTTAGTACTTCTATTTCCTTTTTTGCACCTTTCATGTGCAAGATAGTGTACTTGCTGCTTGCAGATGAATCAGATACAAGCTATCTGTAAACTACTTGCAATTAAGAAGGGAAAAGGCATATATATATATATATCTAAGTATAATATATGGTAAAATATTTTCTCTCGTTAATGAAGCCCAGATATACTGCTCTGAGAAACCAAGGACAGGGAGATTTCTAGTCACAAAGATAAAGATAATCATGAAGGTATTGTCAGATCTAAGTCCTGGTAAAAAGAAAATCTGGAGAAAGATGGGAAAAGACAAGGAAAGGATATTCCAGGCTGAAGTTGACAGAGATGGAGGGGAAGAGATGTACAGAGATGTAGAGGAAGGAAAAATGAGGACTTGGGTGAGGACCTGTGCGTAGTAATTTGACTTCCACATCTGACATATACCCACTGCTGTCTAGTTAATTCTGACTTATAGAATTATACCCTATAGGAAAAAGTAGAACTGTCCCATGGGGTTTTCAAGGCTTTAACCTTTATGGAAACATATTGCCATGTCATTCTCCCAGAATGGCTAGTGGGCTCTCACTGCATACCTTTTGCGGCTGTATGATGAGGGCATGTAGTACCAAAATCAAACAAATAAAAGAGGGAAGCTGATTGATATCTTGAGTGAGGCACTCATTATAATTGGTCCAAAAAGTAGGACAAAAGAGAAGTATATTGTCTCAAGTGAGACAAGAATGACAAAGAGGAGCCATGAAACAGGAACACAACAGTGAATGCTGAGTCAGCTTTCTCTCTTGAATGGATTTCTTTTTAAGTGAACCACCTTAGGTAAAACTGTTGTTGTTAAGTGCCTTGGAATTGGTTCAGACAAATAGCAACCTTTCGTATAGGGTTTTCACGGAGCAGCTGGTGAGTTTGAACTGTCAACATTGTGGATCAACCTGACCTTGCAGTTCAGTGCTTTATCCCACAGTGTCACGTATGTCTCTTGAAATATTACATGCATTGATATTAGGGTTGTCATACAAAACTTCTTTTCAAAGTAAAAAGAGTGGAGGAAAAAACTTTGTGTCTCAGCATTGGGGAATATCAAAGTAAATGCAATGTCTTGTAGTTTTTATATTCCCTTTGAACATAATCTTGAAGTTTACTCTTTTAAAAGAAGCCCACCAACCATACTATGAGCCTGGGCCATCCTTTTTCAAGCTATTCTTATAGTGAGTGTTAAGTTTCTAATTTGTTCTAAGGCAGGTGTTTCCCTATTCTAACATATTTAAGAAATTAATGTATTTTAGAAATATGTATTCAGAAAATTATAATTATAACTATAAAGAAAATAATTATGATTCATTTAGGTAGAGTCACCTCAGAAGAATAAAATGAATCTAATTCTCTTGAAGTGCTACTTTACCTGGCATTAAACTCATTCACAAGGACTCCTTTGTTCCTGTTAAGTGCTGTGGAGTAGTTTCTGACTCATAAGGACTCTGTATAGAGTTTCTGAGAAGCGACTGGTGAGTTTGAACCGCCAACCTTGTGGTTGAAACCAATCTTGAGGTCTAGTGCTTACACTACAGCACCAGCCCAGCACCCCTTACCTGTGGATTAAACATGACTGAATATAGTATCATTCTCTTTAGAAAACAATATGCTGATTTTCTGATACAGTTAAGGAATTAATTTCTGTGTCTCTCCCTCATATTAAAAGCATTCAAATGTCTTTATGCAAAACATTGATGTACTTTAAGAAATTTAAAACTTAAACAATAGTTTGGGGTTTGTTGTTTTCCATGTGAATAACACACTCTTCTCCAAATGCAGTATTTAGCAGCCAAACAGCTGCTGGCTATTAAAAGTCCCTTAAAGCTCCTTTTTTTTTTCTATTTTGCTCATAAAGGAAAGAGAAGTGTAGGGACGTTTATGTGGTGACAGACAGATGTTTTAGTTGGAGAACAAGACTATGTATGCGGTAAGCAAAAGCTAAAATGATCCCTTTGATGACATCATCAGCATTTTTACCACTTTTTTTTGGGGGGGGGGGGGGGGCTTTTTTTGGTAAATCAGTTTTTGCCTGACCTTAAATTAAACTCTTCTTTGAAAGGTGTAATAAAGCGTCGTTTGCATGGTTGTCCAATTGGGTCCTGGTTTGGCATCGTAGGATAAAGCACTTGACTGCAAGATTGTTACCGGTTCCTACAATGGTTATTATATTAGAGTCCACTGTTGCTTCCACTGTGTTAATCCATCTCATTGGGGATCTTCCTCTTTTATGCTGACCCTCCACTTGATCAAGCATGATGTCATTTTCCAGAACTGGCCCATCCTGATAACATGTCCAGAGTATGAGAGACTGTATCTTGTCACCCTTGCTTCTGAGAAGCATTCTGGCTGTATTTCTTCCAAGATTTGTTTGTTCTTCTGACAGTCCATGGTACTTTCAATATTGTTTTCCAACACCATATTTCAAATGTTTAATTTATTCATTGTCCAACTTCCACTTACATAGGTGATTGAAAACACTATAACTTGGGTGAAACGCACCAGTTCTCACACTGACTTCCTTGCTCTTTAACACTTATAAGAGGTATTTTGCAGCATATTTGCCGAATGCAATATGTTGCTAAATTTCTTGATTGTGGCTTCCATGAGTATTGATTGTGGATCCAAGCAAAATTAAGTCTTTGACAACATCAATCTTTTCTCCACTTATCATGATGTTATTATTTGGTCCCATTGTGAGGATTTTTCTTTTCTTTACGTTGAAGTTCAATCCATACTCAAAATCCATATTTTAAGTCCTCTGTGCTTCCAGCAAGCCAGGTTGTAACATATACAGATTGCAAGTTAATGAGTCTTCCTCCAATCCTAATGGTAGGTTCTTCTACATAGAATCCAGCTTCTCAGAACATTTGCTCAGCATACACATTGTATTGGACTCCTGATGTGTTGCTGTAGGACCACAAGGCTGGTTTGAACCACAAGACTGGTGGTTCAAACCCACCAGGTATTCCTCGGAAACCTTACACAGGGTCACTACAAGTTGGAACTTACTTTATGGCACTTAACAACATACACAACAAGTAAGTATGGTGATAGGCTGCCACCCTGCTGCACACCTTTCCAGATATTAAACCATTCAGTATCCTCTTGTTCTGTTTGAAGAACTGACTCTTGGCCTGCGTACCAGGTCCTCAAGAACACAATTAAGTGTTTTGGAATACAGATCCATATCAATGTTATCCATAGTTTGTTACGACCCACACAGATCAAAGCCATTGTATCGTCAATAAAGCACAAGTATACATCTTCTGGTAGCCTCTGCTTTCAGTGATGATTCATCTGATGTCAGCAATGATATACCTCATTCCACATCTTCTAAATCTGGCTTGAATTTCTGGCGGTTCCCTATTGATATACCGCTGCAATAATTTTTCAATTATCTTTTGCAAAATTTTACTTGCATATGATATTAATAATATTGTTTGATGATTTTCATATTCCACTGGATCACCTTTCTTTGGAATGGGCACAAATAAGGATCTCTCCCAAACGACTGGCCAGATAGCTGTCTTCCAAATTTCTTGGCATAGATGAGTGTTGCATCAATTTACTAAAACATTTAAATTTATATTCCATCAGTTGCTGGAACATTGTTTTCCACCAGTGCCTTCAATGAAGCTTGGGATTCTTCCTTCAATATCATTGGATCTTGGTCATATACTACCTCTTAAAATGTTTGAACATTGGCCAATTCTTTTTGGTATATTGACTGTGTGTATTCCTTCCATCTTCTTTTGAGGCTTCCTGCATCATTCAATATATTGTTGTTGTTAAGTGCTGCTTGGTTAACAACAAATTGTATTGACCCTGTATAGAGTTTCCGAGGAGTGGCTGGTGGATTTAAATCTATGACCATTTGATTCACAGTCCAGTGCTTATCCGCCAGTGCCATGCCATAGTATTCTTCAGTAATGCAAGTTGAGGCTTGAATTTTGCTAATTATAGGACATAAAAATAAAAAGAAATTCATCACAAAAGTCATGATTGGAGGTAGTCTAATTCATCACTGTAGCAGGCAGGACCATGATGGTTTTATATATATACTATTGCAGGTTAGAAAAATTTACAGATATGGTTGTGGTGCCCTCCAATGACCCTGGTCAGGTTATAACTAATGACCATGCAGCCCTGACCCCAATTTGCATCAAGGGCATGCTCAGAAAAATCCATGAGAATAAGACTGCTCCTCCATGAAGTGGCTAACCAAAAACCAAACCCCCTGTCAAGGAGTTGATTCCAACTCATAGCAACCTCATATAGGGTTCTGAGAGTGTAAATCTTTAT